AAGTATATGGCTAGAAAGTAAGAGCGGCTCAGAAAGGAAATGCAAAGCTACCATTATGTGAACATACTCTGTTCCTTACCCCCATTTTATGCTATGATTACAGACAGACCCTTGTGCCTGCACAGCTTCACAATAGTTTGATACACTTGAAAAACAAGGTCCAGGTACATCCAACTCTGTTGGACATTCTGACCTCTGCAAATATGCAAAACAGCTGAGAAACAAAGAGTGTCAATCTAATTCTGCAATTAAAAATAGTATTTCCTAAATTTTTTTCTTGGCACAGATGCAGGGTTTTGCACATGATCTGTTTACACGATAACTACAATTTTAAAAATTAACCTACCTCTTGGTCTTCCTGAGTTCCAAGCACACCCACAAAAATTCTGCATATGGTACTGACACGGACTTTTCTTACTTGCAAGGCCGATTCATAGCCTTTTGGAACGAACTCCAGGAAATATTGCAGTATATGGCAAAAAGCAGCTTTCAGCTTTTCAGACTGAAGGCACCTAAACACATTATCTTCAAACAATGCACAGAGCTTCTCTAGTAACATATTTAAGTAGACAGGTTCAATATTTTTGTAAGAATCTGCTTCAAAAGGCAACAACGTCCTCACCAACAGAAAGAGTGGTTCTCCAAAGAGTTCTGATTTGTCAGCATCCATTTCAAGTGCTGATTGCAGAATTTCAAAAAAGACTGTGAAGAAAACACTAGCCAGCTGTTCTGGAGGTCCTCCTAAGTGAATTAATTTTACTAAGAACTTCACTGCCAAAACTTTAACCTTTGGACTGCCACACTCCAACAGGGAGCAGCCTATTCCCCAGAGAACAGTATCTTGTCTTACAAAAAACACATCTGCAACAATATCTGTCAGAATAGACATTAATATAATTTCCAAACATTCCACATTGGGCATACCCAGCAGCTGTAATGGCGCCAGTCTTAAATATCCCACATTGTCACTTGCATTGCTTGAAAATCTCTTTACAGTCACTGGCCAGACAAGTCCATCTCCCCAGAGGTGTTTCTGTGCATCTCTTTCATGCAAGAAGATCAAGTCTTGGAAAAGCTGCAGCAAGTCTTTTGTTAGTACTTCAAAAATGGAGCAACTTTTCATTTTAAACAGAAAAAGTAAAGAGCAAATGACATCACAAATGTTCTTGTGCAACATGTCACAGTTTGGAGTTGCAGCAATTCGGAGAAGCCTTGTTATGATCCAGTTGCTAAATTCTAGGACAATAAAAAAAGAAACAGTGAACAGAAAATTAGTAAAACAAAATCCCAACCCTCCTATTATAAGGACCTCTCCGAGAGCAGGTTTCTGATAAGTAAAGCAAAAGAAAATTCCTTGAGATAAATGAGTGTAGGTCTAGTAAACAGAGCCTCACTGGGACATTTCTTCAGCAGATCTTATTGAAAAAGAAGAAAATGGGGTGAGATGCAGGGCAGGTGGGGAAAACCAACTAAATAAAAACCCTGGCAGACATTTTATACTGGATAGTTTCAGACATTTTCCTCTGTCAGAAAACCTAACAACTGTGGTCAACAATCGTATGTACAGAATACCTCATCAACATGAACCAGGTAGTTGCACTAAGCAATGGTAATGAATAAGGTCAAACTCTCTCCTGATGAATTTTCATTATCACAAGTGCAAATCATTTCACATATTAAAAGTCTATCATAACATTAACTTACTTATAAATATGTAACGCGGAACTTATGAATCTGCCCCTTTCCCGTTTTTTGTTCTTTTGTATGTTCCTACTATCAGAAAAGCTGAGTCCTGAAAATATCAAGCTTCAACATAAACATTTTCAACAAACTCACCAATGCAACCGCTTTCAGTTTCCTCCTGATTTCCATCCACATTTACAAACATAAGCGGGGAAGATTTCATAATATGTTGAATAAAGTCAAGCAACATTACAGAACTGGGCTGTGAATCTAATTTCTTAATCAGTTCCAAAGCAACTTAAAAAAAAAAACAAAAAAAAAGACATTTCTAAATTAGCATTCCAATAAGTCAACTTCACAAAGTTTGTTCACACCTAAAGAGGAAGAAGACATTTTTAATATAAAATACTATGGTATGGCATCAAACTTGCATAATTATCCATTAGGAGAGTGCCTTATCAATCCATGAGCATGACGTTGCACATACTGTAAGCCTTCTATGCAACACCAAACTGTATGCATATAAATTACTCAGCTTATATCCAACTGTTTGACAAGTGAAGAATAGCAAATAGCATTAAATTTTAATCAATTTTCCCTAGGTTTATGATCTTGGTAGAAAAACACCACCCTAAAGTTGTTCCAAAACTCCAAGAAATACAAATTTTAAAATGGTAAGTTCAGCTTACTCAATCAGAAAGTTTGGTAAAATACTAAGCATGTCTAATGCTGCTGTACAGCTCCATTGAAGCAGGTATCTGAAACACATTTTCCAAATTCCACATGGTTAGTTACCACAACAAGGAAACTATCGCAGATTCAGATAGGAATTAATCAGAGAAGTTCCAAGGTAACGACAAAATACAACACTTACGCATTCAAAAGCAGTATTTAAAGCAGATTGCCTTTTTGTTTTTATAGCCTTCCCTTTCAGTACTATAAGAGAATTAACAAACATCATCTAGAATTAATAAACATCATCTATAGAGTAACTTGTGTGATACTGAAATTGATCAATTCACTAGACAAAACATCTGTCTTACCAAGACAGCTACATAAAATTATATTTGGGAAACAGTTACTCTTACTCTGATTCTCCCTCATGCAAATGTACAGATAACTACAAATGGTAATTTTGTAGTATATGAATTTTATAATTACCAAATTGTTGTTGGTAATAACTGGAACCTTATCATGATTTAAGGAGTACCAATTTGCTAGAATAGTAAAACTGAAAATAAAGCTGTTTACATCAAACTATTTCAATTCTTAAAGACTCTAAGACTCGCAAGCTATACTACTCAATGAACAATCACATTACTCCTGATTTTCAGTGTTGTGAGCACTTATATTCACACAACCCTGTGCTACATATCCCCACTTTTTTTTTTTTTTTTGGCTTAAGTTACTTCACATCTTAATAACAAATTCTTCATCATGGAAGTTATTAAAAGTTAAGTCATAAGTACTATTGCACTCAACTACTAAACCTTTCTTGAAATGAAACTTGTAACTTTTTTTTGGCAGGAGTTACATAAACCATAAAGCAGATTATTATATTAAAAGACAGTGATGTAATGCTTACCAACATCTACATCTGTAAGAATTCTGTCAATGAACTGGCAGAGTATTTGTCTTGGTTTCTGCACAACTGTATTGTATTCTTCTGGACTAGCACTAAAATTAAAAGTACATTATATTGACATTATCCATTTAAAATTACTAAATTACTAAATAACTGAAGCCTACCTCAACCACAAGATGTTAAATGCTGACTTTTTATTCTAGAAGTCTTCAAAAATAAATGCAAATTTGTTTTAATAACCAATGTATTGCCTCCTCCTCCTTATTCTTCAGAAGTACAAAGTTTTATGAAGTGATGAAGACAATTTTATTTTGTTACACAATTATGTTCAATACATATTAAATCCAGAGGGTAGACTATGAGATTTATTTGCATACTACTACAGAGCAACAACCCAGCTCTGGTGCAGAAAGAAACAGAATTAAGAACACCTTTCACTTTTGGAATTAACCGAAATTATTCAACTGCTTAGCTACCAGTACCCTGGACAAGAGGTGTCAATAGCAACTGTTCACGTGCCTAAGATAGCAGCTAGGTCTTGTCAGGTCAGACCTTCAACATGCAATTGTATCTCCAAGTCACCTAGCTGCCTACTACAAAACAACGCTTCAGTCTTGATGTTGCCATTAAAACTTTAGAGCCAGGCATTTGTCAAGCTCTTTTAATCCTCAGTGAAACCACAGTGCAAACACAAGGGAAACCACCAGCAGGCTGGGTGCCATGCAGGCCCACACGCCTCTCCCACCAGGATGTACCAGCATCACTCGTGAGGGAACCACACGTGCCGGTGGCAGGAGAACACGGCGACGAGGATGAGGGAAGACGGCAGACTCAGAAGTTCTCTCACAGCCGTGAGGAAGGAACCTACTTTTCTCATCTCCCTGGGCCACACACTGATGAAGAGGGCGGGGGCGCTTCCCCCAGCACAGCGGAACCCCCCCCCCACCCCACAAGCCCTGCGAAGCGGGAGCTGGGTCCACCCTACCTGGCCAGCTCCCGCAGCGCCGGGATCATGGAAGCCATCTCCAGACCCTGCTCGGCCATGGCTCCCGCTTTGAAACAGGCCGCGCGCCGGTGAGGCGGGAACTGCACGACGGCGTCCGGCGGAACCCAAACCTCCTCCGTTGTCGAGAGGGCGGTGCGCGGATCCGCGGCGCTGATGAGGTTTAACCCCTTCGTCACCACACGAGAGAGCGGTCACGGCGGCTATGTGGTCGGTTTCTAGCGGGCTCCTATGCAGCCCTCGCTGCCGCGGCAGGGATCTCCTCCACGGGGCAGTGCACACACCGGTGGCAAGCCAACAACGGCCAAACACACCCCGCCGAGCCGCGCCACCGAGGGGCAGCCGGGAGCCACAGCCTCAGCACTAGCTACGACTCCGGGGAACTCGTAGCGCATAGCCGGGGGGAAAACTGCCGCAGTTTTCACGATTGCTTAAAGAGAGGGTGGGGAGCGGCCCCGTGTTGAGGGGTGGCGAGGAGAAACTTCGGTGCGGAATAAGAAAGCCCCGCCAGAGGACTCGCTACAGCTCACTGCTCCCCCGGGCCGGACATGGCGACACTCTCGGGGTGCCCCGGCGCCCTGCGACCCCGCAGGGAGCGCACAGCCGCAAGCTCAGCAACATCCGGCTGTATCTGATCCTATACGCGTCCCACCAGCGGCACAGAACGACCCCAAGTGACCCCGTCTGGGCCCTGCCCGCCCCTGCCACCATCCGCCCTGCCATTGGCAGCCGGCGCTTCCCAGCCGCTCGTCCCGCCCCGCCGGTGGCAGGTGGCGGCGGGTCCCAGAGGGTACGGCGGTACTGAAGGAGCCGGCGGCTGGGCAGGTAGGGGTGGATAGAGTGAGTCATTGATCGTTTTGGTTGCTGGTGGCTGGTTCTCGGTGTTACCTCTCCATAGCGCCTGGGGGAGTGGGGTGGAAGGAAGGGACTAGTCTATCTCGCTTAGTTGGCGGGAGGGTGTGAGGTTCCGAGCCCACCGGCTCGACGCTGCTCCTTGTAGGTAATGAATGGCCTATGTTGCTATCTGTTTATGTCCTCTTGAGGATGTGAGCGCCTTTAAGTGCTTAAAGTACCAGAAGTCTTCAGGAAAAGGCTACTTAAACATTATACTGCGTGCGGAGAGTTATGTGCTGCCTTACTCTAGTGCGGAAGATACGTTTTAGTAGCTGTCCTGGGATGTGCTGGTGAGCGTAGGCTGCTGACCCGCGCGTGTGGGACCTACCTGTGTAGTAAGTCTGCAAGAGTTCAGAGTTATGAAAGGGTAAAATAAGAGAGTTGTGTGTAAGTAGAAATATCAGGCAGAGTATGTGAGAGGAAAGGGGAGTTTGAGCTTTTTTTTTCTAATTACGATATATAGCTCTTTCTGTACTTGTTTATGAACTTTGTGTTAGCATTATTCTGAAGGCTAAAATAAAATCCTGTTGGAGGCCTTTAATTCTGTTGCCTGTTTCCACTGTGCTGGGGTTATATCTTTTGGATATAAAACACGGTGGGGGGCATGTGCATTTCAGTTACTGATTCATTTCAGATGGATGCTTTTGGGCAACCTGTTAATAATTTTTCGTGTGTAGGTTGTTGTTTTAATCTGCAAAATAAATGTATGCCATTTCATTAAAAATTCTGCTGACCTTTCAAAGGTTGCTAATGTGGGAAGGACCTGGAATACTTTGAGAAACTTCATAAAGCATAACTTTTATTTTCACTTGTTTTGAAACACGTATTGCAATATTTTCTATCAGCTGATTTTATAAATATTAGTCTTTCAATAATTATTCTTAGAAAGGAAGCAAAAACTGTGTAGCTTTACATGTTTAGCTAAGTAGAACAGTAATGATCCAGGAAGACTAAGTATGTCTGGGGTTTGTTATCAGTGCTATTTGGAACACAATTTTGTACACAGTTTCAGTTAAGTCTCTTTATTGTTGAAGACAGCATTCTGAGTGTAAACTTCCAAGCCTGAGACAACAATCATACTAAGTGTAAATTGCACAACTGGCTAATTTGATGTAGAGTTAAAATTTTTGTGTCATCCCTGTTTAACTTAAGATAGCAAGATAGCTGTTGGGATTTTAAGAGAGTTTGAGAAGGCTGTATTATTCTTTAGCTTTCAGTCCTAAAAGACATGATAAATTTATTGACTCATAGGGTGATTTTTTTCTGTTGTAGTTAAACCATAAGTGGGATAGACAAAGCACTTTTGCCTGAAAGTCTTGTGAGTTAACAGAGAGATCATATTAATATAGGTATTGCAGAACTGCTTTCATTTGTCATAGGTAGAATGCTATATAAATTTGTGGTGCAGTTTCCTTAAGCATTTACCACACGTAGTTGGGAGGGGGGGGCCTCTTTCTTTTTTTTTTTTTTAAAGTATCAATTCACTGAAGACACCTCCTGCTTCTCATTCTTCACTGGTAATGAAGTTAAGAGACTTATTTCCCTTCCCAGTTGCAAAGTCCCATCTGCTGCCTTCTGACCGTGTCATCAAGTCTTGGTCTTATAAAACTGCCCATAATAACAATTTCATTGTACTGCAAGGATGTAAGAAGCCTCATAAATTCTCCCCATAAAAACTTTTTTATGGGCACTCTCAAAACCTACCACTCCCCAAACCCACTAAGGAAATGCCAACTGAAACACCTGAATTTGGTCCTGGCTTTTGTTGAATGCATGATAAGCAGCTCAATAAACTCTTAATTAATCTCCCTGTTTCTTCCTTGTCCCATTATTTTATATTTTTATGTCTCCTGACCCTTCAGGAGGAGGAGCAGGTATATTATCCTGCTAGTGAGAGTGACTCATTACTAGTGGAAATAGTATGCCTTGAGACATTCTGTATATTGTTTTTCTGGTGCAGCATTCGTATTGGTGAAATGAATGTTAGGTGTGCAGAGATTGCAGAACTTGGGGAAGTTCATGCAGATAGGTAGAGCTAAGTATTAAATACAGTATATGTGGCACTGCTAAGGTTTCTGCCAAAGCTGACATTAGTCCTTTCCCACCCGTCTTTTGTTCTTCCCTTATTTTTCCCTGAGTTTTCCCCACTTGAGCAGTCCTCTCACTATGGACTTGCACCATTCTTCTGCACCCGCCCCTGCACGATTCTTCCACACCCAGGCCTCTATCTTCTTTTGCTTTCATTGCTTCTTTACCACATGCCTCTGCAGGGCAATATATTTATTTTAAGACACTGAGTGACTTTGCCTTGTACCAGCAGGTCCCAGGGCACAAGAGTAAGTACATGGATTGCACTTTTATTCCCTCTCTTTCTGTTTATTTCTGAGGTAGAATTACTGTTCTTCTTGGGGCTTATCCGCTCTGTGGATGTATAAGATGTCCTCCCATGTGGTTAGCATGACTGCAGTTAAATCTCAGCTGTCTCTTGCAGGTAGACACAAGTGACTATACTAAGTGCATTTCTTGATGCCTTCATGACCTGTGAAATATGAATGTTGTAGAGGCTGATATGGTGGTCAGAGGAAATGCAGTCTAGATGCATGGAGGTCCTCTGAACTGTACAAATTAGTTTCATGTAGTATCAAGGTGTGCTTATGGCATATCATTTGCATGGTTGCTGTAGTAACACCTGATAGTCTGTATGATTACTTGAAGACTAATTTCCTTATATAGCCATGAAAATGGTGGTTGGAGTAGTTGAACGCATTGTGTGACCTTTGAACGCATTGTGTGATTCCTGTATGCCATAAAAACGTATATTCCAGCAAGCTCGATGCCTGTGTTGCTGTGTGCCCAGCTTGTTTGGGGCACAGATTAAAATTACAGTTCATCCTGGATATTGGTTTGATAATGGGAGAGGGAGGAAGGGGAATGAAAAATTGAAACAATAAGTGGTGGTAAGGAGGGCAAGCCAGAAACCTAAAAGCAGATTCATGTACATCCACCTACTAAGCCAAAACTATCAGGTAAAGGAGGAAAAAGAAGTGAGGGAAGAAAATATGCAACAATACAGTCTGCTTTTCTCATGTCTTATTTCTGTATGTAATACAGAAGTCCTGCAAGCATTTATCCATGATCTTTATATGCATAAATGTGATGAAGTGAAATTAAACAGTTCTGTAATTTTAAGAGACACCTTGTTAAAATGTAATTTCTTTTGGAACCTGTTGTGACTATTCTTTTCTTATCTGCAACTACTACTATTAAAAATAATCGCCTGTATGTTTTCTTTGTTTAATTGTTTCTTGCTTCCCAGTATTTTTAGTTTTATATTTAGTGTTTAGTATTGCCAGTGAGGCTAGTAGCTGTGGAGGAAACTCACAGAAATGTATTTGCTACCAGGATCAGGTTTATAATGTCAAGTCTTTTTGAGTTGAGAACTTTTCAATGAGAGTTAAGATGCCTGAAATCCAGTTCCCTAAGGCCAAATTTGCAGAAGCTTAAATGCTGATTTAAAAATATTAAATAATAATAAAAAACCTGAAGAATGTAACTGTTATAATGATTTAATGGGAAAAACTTTTCCATGGTTTAATTGGTCCTGGAAATTACTTACTTTTTTTTTTTTTTTTAACTTTTTAGCAACAGTGATGCTTAAGAATCCCTTAATAGCAGAACTGTATACTACTCATGTTACGAGAAAATTGTGTAGTGTTTTAATTTGCAATGTTGTTTAAATTGCGGTTGAAAATTCTGGCTGTTGAAAAAAGGTTTGTCTTTAGTTAAAATATTTCTTCAGTGAAAATCTAAATAACTGCACTAGCTACACTTTTCATAGTGGACAGTTGTTTTCTGTGAAAAATTTAATGTTAGGAGAAAAAAATTTCCACCTGTTTTTGTGTTCCATGCTGCTTAAGACTAGAAAGAAGTTTACACAAGGGAATATTTATAAAAGTTCTGCTAAATGTCAGCTTTCCCCGTTGGCTAGTTTACTATAGAAACCAATGCAGTGAGTAAGGAGAAAGGGGATTCATGGGTTTTGTCCTTTAACACCTGTCCCCCCCCTTTTTTTTTTCTCCCAAATAATTTAAACCTCTCTATGCTGGAACAGTATTCATTACACTTTTGAGGAGCATGTGTTCCTTGGTGAATATTTTCCCAGTATTTGAAGCTTTCACAATTCTGTGAGGATTATGTCAATGAAATAGACATCACCTTAACAGCATGCAATGAGAAAATAAATAAACTGAAAAGCTTGTACCCTTACATTTAATGCTTCCCATAAAGTGTGTGGGTAATGGTTAGATGCCACAAAACCTCTCAAAATCTCTGTGTTTACGTAAATAGTTTAAACAGGAGCACCAGCAAGTAAAATCCTAGCAAACAGAATTATTACTGGAGAAGGCTCCTCTGTACTGTGCCAAACAATAAGGAAACAATAAATTTAAAATGTAGTGCTTGGAAAAGATCCCTAGCTAAGCAACTGCGCATGCTTTTCAATTTAAAGCTAGGGTTTAAGATCTGTGTTAGATGATGTCTCACTAGCTTATTTAAGCTCATTTGACGTTCACTATGCTAACAGTTGCCTAATGGTCATGTTGTGATATGCAAAGGGATATTAACAGTGAAAACTCTCATTAGCCAGATTGGTGTGGATCCCGAGTTCCAGGGTATGGTAGAACCAGTTCTGCATTACAGTCATACAGTTCCACTTTAATAAGAGGTTTTTAAGCATCACATTTGCTACACCTTTAAAAAGGGGCTGCAAAATGAAACACTGATTTCTCTGTTCTGCAGTGTATATGTGAGAAAATTGCTAATTACATTATTTCAGCTAGTCGTTTGCAGGGAAGTACTAAATATCAGTCATGGCTTAATTATATACATAGTTATTTGGTTTGGTACTTCTGAATTTAACTTACTTGGTGAAT